AACAAGAGCGAAACTCCGTCTAAAAAAAAAAAAAAACAAACAAACAAAAAAAAAAAAACAACAACAAAAAAAGCAGACTGGGCAGGCACAGTGCTCATGCCTATAATCCCAGCACTTGGGGAGGATAAGGTGGGCGGATCAGTTGAGGCCAAAAGTTCAAGACCAGTCTGGGCAACATGGCAAAACCACATCTCTACTAAAAATACTATAAATTAGCCAAGGATGTTAGCACATGCCTGTAAGTGCAGCTACTTAGGAGGCTGAGATATGAGAATCGCTTGAACCCAGGAGGCAGAGGTTGTAATTAGCTGAGATCATGCCACTGCACTCCAGCCTGGGTGACAGAGCGAGATTCTGTCTCAAAGAAAAAAAAAAGCAAAATAAAAAAATCTTAAACAGACATTTTCCATGTTCTTAGTGACTTGTTACTTTTTTAGTTATAAAAATTATAAATAACCATCACTACAGAAGAAATATCAACTGTTAGAACACGAATTTTGTAAGCCTAATTGTACTGCTAATGTAACTGCCACACTGTAGAACACTGAGACTTAAGAAATTACAAATTAATGCAATGCTAGTTTGAAGATTTGACATTTTAGAGTTAGCACTTGGTAGCTTGATAATATTTATGCAGAAATACAAATTCTGAAAATTTTCCTATAATAACATATGAATGTGTTTACATAAAGACTTCTGAATATCTACAGCAGTGGGTCTCAATTCTGGCTGTATACATATACAGATTCCAGGACTCTCATGCTGGGATTGTAATGTATATTTAAAACAGGGTATGTTTTCAAAGCCTCATACATGATTCTAATATAACCAGGACTGAGAAAAATCAATATGAATTTTTATGCATGAAATAGAGACATGTCCCTTTTACAATCCTAAAAATAAAAACAATTGAAGATTAAGCTTACCCTTTCCAACAGACTCATTTCTTGGAATTCTGGACTAGTGTTGGATAGCCGCTGCAAAGTATGGGTCAAATCATATGTTGTTGAAAAGTAAAATCCATCCACATTCAAGACATGGTTTAGCATTGCTAAGAAGGTTTTATTATCTTGTAACTGTAAACAAAGAAAAATCAGTACAGCTCATAACTGAAAAGGAATCTGAATAAAAATAAAAACCTTTAAGCACAGCCTCGTTAAAGACTACTACTGGCATAAGAACTGGGCCAGCAAGAGGGATGTTCACCATTTCCCTGGGACATAGGACAGTTCCTGGCACACAGAAGATAGATACTCAATAAACACTATAGGGTACTATTAGGTAACTTGATTAGGTAGGACCCCCTCCCCTTCACAAATTTTATTCTAAAGGGCAGAAGAGTGGTTTTAACAAAACATCACCTTTGATTATGACCTACTGTGTGCCAAAGATTTTCCAAAGATTCTCTAATCCTCACAACAGCCCTGCAAAGTTAGCATAGCTACCCTGACAAATAAAACACGTAAATTTAAGAGGGGCCCAATAACAGAGATAGCAAATAAGAAGATACTAACATCATCCTCATTCTCAAGAAACTTTCCTGGTTTGGGATGGATGAGAAGTAAAATGGAATTCTTTTTCTTTAAAACAAAGATTAAAAAGTCAAGTAAAAGCAATATTTATCTTTATTTTTGGATAATCATTTTAACTAGCTTTCCCAATGAATACCAAGATTGACATTTGTCTTTATCCTTGTTTTAAAAAACAATCGTTAATGTTTAGAAACGTTTAATGATTACCAAATGATTAACTTGTTAATCCACGTTACAAATCTACATATATAAAATTTTTGACTTGTGCTCAGACATGTTTTTAGAATTAGCTACACAGCTTTACAACAAAGTACAAAAATCAAGAAGAAATTGTCTAAGTAAATATGACTGGTCTAGTAAATGAATACAGCCATTTTTATTTCTTTAAAATATAGCTAGCAGAGAATAAATATATTGATATATATTTCTTGATATACATATTATGAAAAAGAAATTCTAAAGTATATTTATATAAATATGTATATTATAAAATAGAAAATATATTATGTTCTTATACATATCAACAGTCAATTGTAAAAACTATGATTGTTCCATGATCTTTAAAAATTTTTTGTCAAAACATTAAAAACTCTATTGTAAGTTACAGATATAACTTATATAGTTGTAAGTTATAGATATTAACTTGTAAGTTATATAGTAAATTATAAGTGTAAAGAAATGAATAAATTATAAAACTAATATTTAGCACACTGTAATTTAAAACATTAGAAACACTAAGAATGAAAACTATTTTATTTCTTTGTGAAAAAAAAATGTATCAAGAGACTTGAACACTGCTTGCCTTCTTGTCATATAACTTAAGATACAGAATATCTCTTCTATCCCTGGTAAACTGTCATACATTTTCCTAAGTCTAAAACAACTTCTGACATTGTATCCTTTGCCCTTTCAATGTTGTGAAATATCTCCAAAGTTTCCTTTAATGGGAAGTTTTTGCAGGCATCACTTCCTCCGGGATACTGTCATCCTTTTCATCACAGCCACTCCATCATTAATGTTGGTAAGTTCACCTGCACTAAGACCTCTGGCTGCATACCTACAGTCCCTTGAATGGTGATAGTGTCAGCGTTCCCATGGTCAGCTACTTCTTCTATGCTCCATTTATGTTCAATTTCAATTTCTCTTCCAAAGTTGTTGCTTTTTGTTTCTTTGCACCTTCATCTTTGGTGGGTTAATTCTTCAGTTAATATACTGTAGTAACTGAAATTTAAGCCATGTTGTTTGGGGATTGGTGTTAACTAAACCATGGTTACTGAAATCTGTGCATACAGCAACCGTGCAAAAGGAAAACTGCCTGAAAGTGTATATACACATTTCATAAACACACATACATGCTTACATTCACATGTGGTAAAAATAAAGAAAACCTCTTTGGGAAAGAAGGGAATGAGTTAAGAGGAGTAGAACTTCAAAGGTATTTATATTTTATTTCTTTATAAAGAGGAAATGAAGTTAAATTTGGTGTTGAGCACATGTGCATTTTCTGTTTTCCCTTTTCTCTCCACATGAATGAAATTTCATAATTAAAGAATTGAATCTCTTTTTAAAAAAAAAAAAAAACAAGAGCAACAAAATTATCTGAATGATTTAAAAAATATTTTTTTATGCCTGGGTAGAAAAGTAGATAGAGTGAGCTCTACAGGTTGTTTAAATAATTATAGCATTCTCTGTATTCCACAATACCCTCGTCCTCCTCTACCCATCCCATGCTACTGCTTTGGGCTTTGCAGTTAGTAACAATTTCCAGTTCTTACCTGAATATCAGTTAAGTGCAACATTGTCTTCTTATAAGAAAGGACATCAAAATCTGTTGCTTTCCAGATTACATGATTGAAAAATTCACCTACTTTTGTCTTTTTGGTAATGACTATAAGATAATTACCTGCAAAAAGCACGCCAAACACACATAATTACAAAAACAGTAACTCTAAAGGTAGAAATTGGAGTCCTTATTGTTTAACTTTAAAGACTAGTAGAATAAGACTATATTGTGCCACACAGAAAAAAGGTCCATTTTTAAAGCAACCTTACAATTTATGAATAGAAAAACCAGAATATTATTTAGAAAAATTCTTACTGAAAGGTCACATTTTTCTCAAAAAAGCTAAAAGCAAATGCTTTTCATAATCAAAGGATTTGTCATAGTAAATGGAAAGCAGAGAAAGAAAATACTTCTCTCTTTCAATACCCCCAAGGCATACAGGCCTCTGCTAATCACTTCCCAGCAGGTAGTTTAAAGCATCAAGTCATGAGATCTGACATTACAAGGCAATGTACCTTCTACACCACTCCTGTGTTCTTCATGTAACTCTGAAGTTAGAGTAATGTGCTTTCTCTGAAGGTAGAGAAATGTGCTGGGGCAGTATACCCAACTGGCTGCCGCAATATTACAAGGATGAGTGGTCAGGAATCTAGGAGTCATCACAACATTATGCACAATACACCAATCCTGACCTTGCTACCTCCTCACCCCACAAATATATAAAACAGAGTAACCCTTTCCTACTCAATTAATTCTTCAGGTCTGTTCAACACTCTACCCACAAGTGCTCTCTCTGGAAGTTCTCCCATGTACATGTCTCTCTCCTAGATCTTGTCACACAGTACTGCAGTAATTCACTATTTACACGCCTCTCTCATTGGACTCAACTGTGGGGCAAAATGGACTTTCATCCCTTATAACTCAGCATCTAGCATGATGCCTGAAACAACAGGAACTTCAAACAAACTCAATGAAATTAAATCTAAACAAAAAGCACCTTCTTAACAACTCAGAACCAAGGAATGTCCACTAACATGCACCATGTCCTATTAGCACAGGGCTGAAGGTGTAGAATACCCTGGTCCATTGATGCATTAAAAATTGTGTTTACATACTCTTGGAATTTGTGAAAAACATCTAGCTAAGGATTTCAATTCTAACTGAAACACAACAAAATACAAAACCTTTTTTTAAGTAATAGAACCTCATGCTGATAAATTTTACCATGTGGGGAGTATTTCTTTCATAAGTTAATGACAAATACTTAACCAAGAGATTTATTGCCTAAAACATGATAGAAAGTATTAATTCATCATATGCTCACTCTAATATTTAGTCAATTTAACTACCTTGTTTAATTACCTTCTTTGCCCATCTTAGCTTATTTTCTCTTACCTGCCACCAGATGGATTGTGCCCAGTATACCAAATATTGGTCTTGTGACAGCTGAAGGAGGAACATCTTTCTTGACTGAAAAGAAAGAAAGAAAAATCACATACAAAAAGCTTGCCAACAGAAACAGAAATTTAGTCTGATTTCAATAGTTACTTCAACTAAACCAATTTGCATGGTTTGCTCTAAGAAAAGCAACATTCCTCAACTTAAATGCACTATTCATAGAGATGTATGTTATATAAACTGGAGAGTAACAGCAATGAAACTGTGATAACTCCTAGAATATATGTTAGGTTCTCTAATGGAAGAAAAAAACCGTCCTATTAGAAATGGCATAGTCTGCATTCCCAATGATGAAAAGAAAATTGGCTAAGAAACTGTCAGCAAGTCAGTCTCAACACTGACTTTGCGTGGAAGTATTTCATTGTATGTCTTACTGATGACTGTTTGGCATCATTATCTTTACATTCAAACTATTCATGACCTTTAACTTTTCAGACTATTCAAATGGGTCTGCAATCTCAACTTACAAATAAAATGTTACTGAAAGATCAAGAACAACTGAAAACATACCCACGTTAAAGCTCTTGAAAGACACCAGGTTATATCAACATGGTATAAAGAAGCAGTATAATTTAAACTTTAGGAGAAATGTACTAACACTGGTTAAAAACAATCAGCTATCTTGCAACAAGCCGCCATGAAGCAACAGACAAATAGGAAATGTCAAATTATTATACTAAAACAGAGCTCTATTTCCATTTGATCAAAGACAAACTATACGTAGTACTACCAGAATTACCACACAATCAAAACACAGAAATTTTATAGCCATAATTTTCTTACACCCCATTACCCACAGAACATATTTTCATATTTCACTTTATCCACTCAAAGGCTATTTACTCTATGGTTATTCAAATATTATACTTTAAGAAGAAAACAAATATAAAACTCTGGAGGTAAATTAGAATCTTTAAACAAACAAAATATGAAATTCCAAATATTAGAACACATGGTACATTAATTTGTCACCAAAGTTATTTCATATTTATCTATTCAGAAGTCAGGCTGTTCCCCACAAGTGAAAAAAAGTTTGTTTTCCGCATCCCAGAAAAGTAAAAACAAAATATAACTGGATAGGTAGATAAAACTTAGAAACATCATTTGCCTAAGAACACCTACAAGTTTTAGACAGTGACATATATTTTATTTTCATTTATTAAATTATCTAAACCAATCCTTTAAAATACAGCTAAGGGAAAAAAATAAATAAATATTATGTTTTTAAATCCTTACAGACAGTAAAATACTATCTAAAATTTTCAAGATCAACTCTCTTTTTCACAAAGAAGGAGGTAGCATAAAATTGAAGCACAAAAATTACACGTTGGTGCAAAAGTAATTGTGGTTTTTGCCATTACTTTTCATGGCAAAAAACACAATTACTTTTGCACCAATCTATAAATAAGGTAGCAAGAATTAAAATTTTAATAGGAATGCACTCAGTGATCCACAAATTGACATACCTCTGATTTATGTTTTTTAATTATTGTAATTTATGTATAAAATCTTTCTCCCCAAACTTCTAAATCTGGCTGTAAAATACCTGCAAGGGTAACCTCTGTGGATACACGGTCAATGATAAGTACATCATCTGCTCCATCATCACAAGCTTCCACATAAAATTTTTCAGGCGTGATATGCCTAAGAAAAAATGTAAAACATAAATAACTAAATCAAATGAAATGAAGACTTCTAAAAAACTACTTATTATAACAATTACAGAGTATAACTTTGACATCATTTTCCCAGCTTCCCAACAGATGAAGCTGTTAAGCTTGCTGTCCTTATGAGTTCATGGCAACTCTTTTCACTTGTATATTTGATGCTGACAAGGTTTTGATTTGCTATGAAACCATCAATTTAACTTATACAAAAATATCACAATCAAACCTAGTTTATAATATTCAACAGGGTACAGAAGGCAAGGCAGCACAGTAGGAACACTCTAAAGAACCAGACTACCAGTACTGTGTGACCTTAGGCAAGTTACTCCTTCTCTCTGAGCCTCTTATTCCCTTAACTGTAAAATAACAATAATACCAGATTCATCACGCAGTATCATGTGAATTAAATAAGCTAATCTTTGGTAAGCACTTTGAACATCTGACACATAGTAAACAAGAGGTATCAGCTAAAAATAATAAGAAATGCATTTTAAATAAAATATTTCCAGGAAATTTTTAAAAATAAATTAATATTCAGGTGGGGTGGGTTTTTTTTTGTAGAAACCGACATATATGTTCCTGAAAAAAACTCCTCATTCCGCAAAATAAAAAATAAAGGACGTAGAAATAGGGCTGAGAGAGACTACTTAAAATTTATGCAACTTTGTAATTAGAGTCTAACAAAAGTTAACAGTTGGTTTCTCAAGAGATAAATAGTTGAGGCAAGCAACTCGGCATGATCAGGGACTAACTCAGGATATAGTAAATATTAACCAAATAAAATGCGTTTGAATTTGCAGGCACTAAAACGATAAAGACTGAAGTAGATAAAACTCCAAGCCACTGATTGAGACTGTTGTGAAGGTAGGCACAGGGGAAGATACGACGTTTCAGAAGCTGAGTAAGGATGGGAAGGGAGGCTGAGTCCAAGAACTATTTCTTTTTCCAGAAACTAATCTTTATTGTTCACAAACAAGACTTAAAAGAATTTCCATCTGTTCTATCTGTGCAGCAGCCAATCTGAGGGTTTTTTTCCTTTCCTTTTTAATTCTACTCCCACTTGCCTATGAAAAACCTTATTCAAACCCACACAACCATCATGGACATCATTTTCTATTTACCAATTGTGTATAAGCTATTTGGTATTATAGAAAAATGTCCTGTAGCAAAACAAACTGTATTGACTATTTTTGACTGTAAGCTCTCTGAGGAATAATCAATCCTTAATTATCCAAATATAATTTACAACCTCTTACGGTTCATCTGTAACTAACTAAACATTAGGGCAGTTTCCTTCATTTGGGGGGATATGCTAAGTGAAAGAAAATCAGTACAACAAAGAAAGCAAATCTGCTTCAAATACAGCAATCTTCAATTCAACCTAAATATAACAGTTCATTCTTTTTATTACTGAATAGAATTCCACTGTATAGATATATCATCATTTGTCCATCCATTCATTTGTTAATGGTTATTTGAGCAACTTCTGGTTTGGGGTTACTATGAACAAAGGAAAGGGTTTAGGAACATTTTTGCAAAAAGTCTTAAGGCGGATGTTCATGTATCTTGTATCTTGATTAACTCCCTAAAAGTGAAATGGCTGGATCATATGGCATATATATGTTTAGCTTGTGCAGAAAGGGAGAAAAAGGAGGGATTACAGCCATGAGGAAACGTTTCCAGGTGACGGATACATTCACTATTATAATACTGGCAATGGTTTCACAGGTGTAAATGTCAAAATTTATCAAACTGTACACTTGAGATGTGTGTACTGTATTGTATGTCAACTTAACTTCAATTAAGCTATAAAAATAAAACAAAGTGAGAGGTCCTAAAACAAAAGAAATATAAAGAACTTCCAGTCATCTAGTCTTACACCATTTTTTAAAAATCCAATATTTCAGTCCATATCTACAAAAGATGTTTTATGGAAGCATAAGTTGCATTCCAAGTGTAAGTCAGTGACATGTACTGAAAGGCTACCACTTACTAAGCATTACACAAGCACCAGGGCAATGTGGCAGGTGACGAATACATTCCAGGGACAGCTGAGCCAGGAAGTTTAGAGATTTGGGGACTCACTGATAGTACACATGAAATTGGGATTCAAACCAGTTTTGTAAAAGTATAAAAGTTATCATTTTTTTCACCATACTATATTACTAGAATTTGAAGACATCATTCTTTGGTAGGCTGGCACAGATACATTGTTGTGTTCAAAATAGTCCCTGGTTAGGGGAAAAAAAAAAACAAAAAAAAAACCACTTAAAGAAATGTTTAAAAACCCTAGTTTAATAAAATTTAAAGACTTTCTGTTTAAAAGAATTGTTTTAAAGTTTTGTCATCTCGACACCCAAACACTAAGGCATCTAAAATTTCATTTGAGGAAAGGACTTCATTCCTTGCTGCCAGTCTCAGCTTTCTCTCCATTAAAAAGAGATAGAGGCTGGGTGTGGTGGCTCATGCTTGTAATCCCAGCACTTTGGGAGTCTCAGGCAGGTGGATCATTTGCTGTCAGGAGTTCAAGACCAGCCTGGCCAACATGGTGAAACCCCATCTCTACTAAAAATACAGAAATTAGCCAGCCATGATGGTGCATGCCTGCAGTCCCAGCTACTCAGGAGGCTGAGGCATGAGAATTGCTTAAGCCCAGGAGGCAGAGGTTGCAGTGGGTAGAGATGGCACCACTGCACTCCAGCCTGGATAACAGAGTGAGACTCTGCCTCAAAAACATAATAATTAAAATAAAAAGAGATAGAACTGATAGGTGAGGGTGGATGATAGAATACATATGATATGCTCAGTACTACGACGGGACTCCATGAAATACAGGCATTATTTAAATTTTACTAAATGGTTTCAGGCCACTGGGTTTTAATGTTGTTTTTTTACACTTCCACCATCTTCAGTCTCTTGACAAAGCCATCACCACTGCTCCTATTTGGCTGCTTTACTTTTACATCTAGGACAAAATTACAGGTTTCAGATAAGGTCTGAGGAAGGTCACACAGTTTTGACTACAGAGTAAAGTCCATGAGCATCCATTTTCTTCGTAAAACTCAGAGGTCTAGTCTCATCCAGTCACCCAGGCTGGAGTGCAATGGTGCCATCTCGACTCACTGTAAACTCTGCCTTCTGGGTCCAAATGATTTTGCCTCGGCCTCCCGACCAGCTGGGATTACAGAAGCCTGACATCGTGCCCAGCCAATTTTTGTATTGTTAGTAGAGACGGGGTTTCATCATGTTGGCAAGGCTGGTCTCAAACTACTGACCTCACTGTCCGCCCGCCTCAGCCTCCCAAAGAGCTAGGATCACAGGTACGAGCCACTGCACCTGGCCAGGCCTACATCTTTTAAGTTCAAAGCTGCATTTTGGAGGACAGAGTTGCCATAATTTATTTCTCCACATAAAGGGTGTGTTATCTCTTCAATAACTAATGCTACTTTTAATATAAAAAGATGATTATTCACCAATCTCAGAAATCAAATCCCTCCACTTTTTTTTATATTAGGCACAAAAACACAAAGCTTGCCTCTAAATAAACAGCCAACAGAGAAATGCATATTGCTCGCTCTGGAAAGCATACCCCTTCTACACTCTGACCACGTATATTTACATAAATGCATTTAAACTCCTCACCTATAAGACCTTTAAAATGAAAATTATTTGGACAAAAATCAATGAATTGAAAAGTCACCCTTGTTTCAACATACAAGGTTGGGGATATAACCTAATAGGTACATTTCAGTCAGCAATAAAGTATTTATTATAAAATCAAGTGTTTATAAGAGCACTTACATACTGTATTAGGGTAAAAAAAATTTTTTTAATTAAAAAAAAGAGCACAAAAGTCACATGCACACACAGAAAAAACTACCTCCATTAGAAGCAATTACAAGTTTTTCTAGGCTGGGCACAGTAGCTTACGCCTGTAACCCCAGCACTTTGGGAGGTGGAGGTGGGCAGATCATTTGAGGTCTGGAGTTCAAGACCAGCCTGGTTGACACGGTGAAACCCTGTCTCTACTAAAAATACAAAAATTAGCCAGGCATGGTGGTGCATGCCTGTAATCTCCACTACTTGCTAGGCTGAGGCAGGAGAATTGCTTGAACCCAGGAGATGGAGGCTGCAGTGAGCCAAAATCACATCACTGCACTCCAGCCTAGGCAACAGAGCAAGACTCTGTCTAAAAAAAAAAAAAAAAAAAAGACTTGAAGGGGTTATGTGCCAGAAGGTTTTAGGATGGTATCTGTTCAGTTCTGAAGGCAAGCCTGTGCATATCTCATAGAATTCCTTGCTGACTTTTGCAGCCACTTCTATACTAATAACAACGTCTTCTACCCTGACCATTGAACTGTCCTAATTTGGAGGCTCTTAGGAGTTAGTCCCTCAGAAACCATCTGAGGGAGATTCCAAATGAGATTGATTTCAGCTTAGGACTTTCCAGAAAAGCCTCCCTTGACTTAGAAGAACGATAACATTCATTGATCTTGCTATGCTGCCATCTCATCACTTCCATTTTCCTCCCCAGGGACACAACAGTCATCAGTCACTCTCCTAACACCAGCTATGACACAGCTCTAGAAGCTCGCATCCAGAAAGAGGAGGAAGAAATCTTGATGGCCAATAAGCGTTGCCTTGACATGGAGGGCAGGTAAAATGTTGTTCTGGACTCTGAGGAATCTGAATCATTGGTATAGAGACCAGATAGGATCGTTATTCACAACTAGGAAACCTGATCATGCAGCCTCCCCCCTCCACCATCACCCCTGCCAGCCTGTCACTTAAAGGTGTGAGATGTGATGACCTTTACCTTGATAATTTCCACTAAACATGGAATTCCAGGTAGGGTTGCTGTCCCCTTGGCCTTCCTAATTGCTTTTCCTTTGCCCTCTGCCTGAGCTGAATTGTTGGCATTTGCACTATAGGGTATTCTTTCTAGCACTGCACTGGAACCCTGTGATACAACAGATT